ATTTAGGTTCAATAACGAAATAATTTATATTTGGTTTGATAATATAATTTTTTTATAAAAATAATAAATAATTATTTTGTTAGAACTCGATAATTATTCTAATTATATTTTAGATTTTTTATATATTAAAATGAGATGCTTATCATCTATTTGATTATGTTTATCCGCAATTAGTTACACGAATTCAAACATGGAACTTCAGTAAGTTGTACTTATGTATAATTTACTTGTAATATTGAATTTTACGTAATATGCATTAATATCCAGTACTTCATATATAAAAAATAGTTTTTAATTTTTTTTGTCAAATGATTTATAATATAATATAGATTAAATAATATATTTGTAAATCTATATCATCCAAATCTAATAGAATTCTTGAAAATGGAGAAGAGAAAACTTTTGGGTCGTACAAGAAAATCGACCAAGGATTGTTGACCAGTTCAAGAAAGTTAGCTTTGGGGCCTTGTTCTATGTTGTAGTGCAGGTTATGGTTAGGTAAAGGGACAAGGTGGGAAAAGGAATATGCGATTTCCCAACTAACCCCATATTATTTAATCCAAAATTAGTGAAGAAACTGTGAAATTTCGACTCGCTTTTATAGTACAATTCAAACCAGACGACTTTCAAATCCCAAAAACAGACGGCTTTGAAGAATCGTAGAACAAAATCCTCAAAAATGTCGATTGCAAAGAAAGGCTTTCAACAGTACTTGCAGCAGCTTCAACAGCATCCTTTAAGAACAAAGGTACGATCAATTTCTCTCGATTTTCTATGTGTTCTATTTGGATTTCACGAATTGGGTTTTTGTTCGTTTGATGAATCACGAACTGGGGTTTGTTTTTTTGATGAATTATGAACTGGGGTTTGTTCTATTTGATGAAATTCGAAATGCTTTTTCTATTGATTTTGTGTTTTTAGTTGAATCATGAACTGGGTATTGTGATTTTTGATCAATGATGAATTGGGTGTTTTTTTTTTGTTTGTTTATTAGAATTAACAACTGAAAATTTTGCATATTAAAGGCTTTGACGGCCGGAGTATTGTCGGCGATCAGTGATGTAGTGTCTCAAAAGCTCTCCGGCATCCAGAAATTGCAAATCCGGCGACTTCTTCTCAAAGTGGTATGATCTGATTGTTTTCCATTGAATCTTTTCTGGTTTAAAGAATTCAAAAAAAATTGATCTGGTTTTTGAAGTCAAAGTCAATCCATTGACTGAAATACAGTGAAGTATTTACTTATTTATTTGTTAGAAATCTTTCTACTAACCATTGAGATATCAATAAGAATCTGTTGAAGGCGTGCGAAACTAACTTCTGATCAATTGATCAGTTAGTCAAATCCAAAAACAAATTAACCACTTCTGAAATGGCTTTCAAACTGGTCTGAAACTTGTCTTCAATCTGATTAGACCTTCGACCCACCGAAGAATGAAGTGTTCGCTTTTTTGCATTATAGAGAGAAAAGATCTTGACCACATAAAAGTGAAAAACCGATCGACTTTTTGGATGAAATACACCTGAGAAGAATCCATTGTCTCAACCTTCTCACACCTATGGGAACTAACCAAGTGGCCTTTGGCCCTATAAGGATATGTGGAACCCTTTTGAATCTCTTTCTAAAAGAGCTCTTATAAAGAAAGGGGAGGTTTCTACTTATTTATAGATTTGATGGTCTGTGTCTAGTTGATGTGCGGCTCCAACATGCCCTCTCAAACAGAAGGCAAAAGAGTGTCTTGAGCCCCTAGGTGGTGCTAGATCTTGCTCTGATATTATGTGGGGATATGTGAAACTCCTTTGAATCTCTCTAAAAGTACCCTTACAGAGACAGGGAGGTTCCTACATATTATATACAAGTTTGATGGTCTGTGTCTAGTTGACGTGGGACACGAACATGCCCAATGGTATCACTCGATCTTTCTATGCTCTTTTTCTGTGAAAAAAGAACAAATTCACACCATGCACAACCCAGGGTCTCCATGGGAACAACTGCTCTACTCTTTGGGGTGGTGGTTAGGTTTGCGAACATCTCACCCCCCCGACTCTACCTTCGGATGGAGATACTGGGCTCGCGTGGTTTGGTTTGGTTTGGTTTACTTGGAATTGATTTGAATGTCTTATTTTGTTGTATATTACTTTTTGGAGTATTCTTGTATGGATGATTAACATGGAAAAGTATGCAGCTTTTCGGGTGTGCATATCTTGGACCATTCGGCCATTTTTACCACTTATTGTTGGATAAGTTGTTCAAGGGAAAAAAGGACACGACAACAGTCGCCAAGAAGGTATCCTGCGAACCTTTAGATAGGTGTAGAAATGGAAATCTACAATCTTCCGGCAAACTTAGGTAGGTGATGCCTAATTTTCGATTTCATCTACAATGGCAAATGAGTCTTTTTTCTGTGGTGGGTTTCATTGCAGGTGTTGCTTGAACAAGTGACATCTTCTCCGTGGAACAACTTGATTTTTATGCTTTACTATGGGTTAGTTATCGAGGGTAAGGTCTTCTTACCACTAGGAGCTTTAACGGTTTGCTTTGGTTCAATTATGGCCAAAAGTGCAAATTGAACTTTTCATCTTGGTTCCAACTTTATAAAATCAAACCAAACTATCATAGAACCATGGTCAACTTCTTGATATGATGCTGAACCATGATATATTAAATTTAAAACCGAACCAAACCAACCACTTTGTTAGGAACGGGTTTAGTTTCATGGTTCGATTGTTCAGACTTACACCCTTACTTCTAACAAAGCGATTTGCGCTACATTATGCATTCAGGGGCAGGTTCATTTGTTACCCCTAAATATTTTGAAAACTGTGAGAACCAAATGTTTTAAAAGGCGTGCCATTTCGGCCGCCATGCCTCTCACCATGACTCAGGGCTCATCTGCTAAGCCGCGTTAACCCCGTGGCCCAGTTTTTAGTACAACGTTATTTGGATTTTATTTACATTTTGTAAGATCTTTTTAGTTTTTTAATTTTCAGTTTTTAGTATATGACCTTATTTTAGTTGTTTAATATCATTGACTAATTGAGTAATAATAGAAAAACATATGCTTATATATATGTATGTATATATATCATATAAAATTAGATATGTCATATATAAAATTGCCATCATGAGTCATGTCTTCAAAACCCGTTGCTCCTAAGGCTTGAGGCTTGCCAGATATTCATAAGGAATATAATAGATATTCATAATGGATGTAGTAGACATTCATAATGGATATAGTAGACATTCATAACGAATATAGTAGACATTCATAACGAATATAGTAGATACTTATGTACATTCATCATGAATATTTGGTTCTACGTTTCTCAAAATATTTTTGCTCCTAAATGAACTTTCCCCTGTGCACCTAAACGTGCAAGAAGGCAATTGTGCACTAGGATCATGCATATTTTTCGAGGCATATAATAACTTAACGTTATGTCATGATATATGCAGGACGACAGTGGATCCACGTGAAATCTAAAATCAAGAAGGAATACCCAACAGTACAGTATGCAGCATGGACGGTACTTCCATAATTTCTTCTTTTTTTTTCGTGCTGCTATTTTTTGAAATTCCTTTGGAGCTCCTTTGTAACCAAAAACTAACACATTTGGATCATGGAAGTAGTTTCTTTGCAATAAATGGTGTCTCCCTTATTTTTTATGTTTTGTAATAAGTGAATACTAATTGTTAACCAATTAATGTGCAGTTCTGGCCGGTAATCGGGTGGATCAACCACCGCCATGTGCCGCTACAATTCCGTGTCATTGTCCAAAGCTTTGTTGCAATGTGCTGGTACGTTTTTACTTTTTTCTGCTTATAAAAGCGATCAAAAAACGTTTGAAATGATTCTCCTCGAGTTCTTTGTGTTTACCATGTATGAGCCTCTCTAAAAGATTCTCTGTAAATGTTCATTTTCTCCGTTTTGGAGAATCCTCTGGAGATGCTTTAAGGTTCTATTCGTGTTTGCCATCTTCATTCCTCCATTGACGACAATGGCACCTAAATTTATTAAATTTTGGATTCAATTTGTACGTAAGTTTTTGGGTTTTTTGTCTTCTATTTTGTAGGGGTATTTTCTTGAATCTAAGAGCGAGATCGTTGACTTTGACCAAAGATTAAGCAAATCGAAAGGAGCTTCTCAAATAATCGCTTCTGCTGCTGCTATTATGCAGAGTTGCCTCTCGTTTTAGCTCAAATTATTAAAGGTATGTTTGTGTACTATCTTCTTCGAAATGCAAAAACAAGGCGGATTTCCGTTCCGCTATCTTGTATCTTGATTTTAAAGGTCAGGTTGTGTTAATTTATGTATCATAACAATGATCGATCAAAAACAATGATATGGTTAGATTTTACAGGTCGAACGAGCTGTTAACATTGTTGGTTTTATTGATCATGCAACTTTATTAACTCATGAACCCTCGCAAGCTAAGGGGCAATAGGTTTGTGATTATTTGCCTTTTTGGTGGTAAGAGTCTCACACCGGCTAGAATTGGACTGATAAACCTCAATATATAGTGGAACTTCTCTTTTCTCCTCAATGGTTTTTTTTTGTAAGGGTGTCTCAAGCAGACTAATCCCAACAAATTATGACTGCAAGAAATCAGGCTTGAACCGAACCCTACCTTAGGCAAATGGGATATTCCACCACATCCTCGAGGACCTCAACTACTACGCCACAACCCTTGTGGTTCCCAATGGCTCTTTTGGAGGGTAATTTGATGGGGGTTCACATATTCTCACATGGTATCAGAGCCAAGGCCTACCTCTGGAACAATGCCCATAACCTTTATTGGAGGGAGCATCTTAGAGTCTCACATTGGCTATATTTAGACTTGGACCTTTCTGCTTCAATATATGTTGAAGCATTCCTACTCTCCTAAGAGGCTCTTTTAGAGAGTAATCAGTCCAATAAGGTTTCACATATTCTCACGTGGTATCAGAGCCAGACATTTGTGCTCAGAGTCTTATATCTGCTAGACTTGGACCTTTCAATTTCATTATATATTGGAACTTCCATTTTATCTTCAATGGCTCTTTTGGAGAGGTAATCTGATGGGGTTTCATATATTCTCACATGGTATAAGAGCTAAGGCCTACCTCTGGGCTTCTGTGTCCGGCAGCCTCTGTTGGAGAGGGCGTGTTAGAGTCCCACATCGACTTTACTTCAATATATGTTGGAATCTCTCAAGGGTTCTTTTAGAGAGTAATCTGCTAGGTCCGCATATTCTCACATTTGGTTTGAAAGCTCTAAGAATCGTACATGTTAAATGAACTTGTCCTTTTTGTTTACAATGTTAGAGTTGATGTACACACTTTGATTGAATTGCAACTCAACTTTATCTTGATCTGCTTCATGGTTATGGTTAAACACTACTAAGGGGTTATTTGGTTGGTTTTTCGTTAAGTCATGTATGGATAAAGTTGTATGCATGGATTAATATGTTTGTATATATTGAGAAGGTTTTTGTTTGGGACGAGTTTTTCGTAGATGTAAGGAGCGGTTTTTTAATCAGGAGGGACGAGTTTGGAAAAAAAACATGGTTTTATGCGTAAAGTTCCCTTAGAAGCTCACTGAATAAGCCACTTATATCATTAAGCCACTACCAAACAGTCATATATAGCCAACTAAATAGTTGTGAATCCCATTAAGCTCATTAAGCTGCTAACAAACACGCCCCAACCCAAGTTCCATCAAATTAGTGCATTTTGTAGGGTTAACCTACCCAAACTGCATTTGGTCAAAATGCGAGTAGCCGAAGATAATATATACATCACTAAGTTTAAAGTTTTATGCAACATTACATGTTTGTCGACCCTAAATCGGTGGAGAAACAGAGGACACGTTTGTGGACAAGTGAATAGATCTTCAATGTAGAGCATACTAACAAAGAGAAGAAAACAATAAACAAAATCACTGATAACACGAGTGCCAATATTTTTGCTACAATGTCCTTCACCTGTTGAGCGTATGCCATCGAGGCTAGAGCTAGGAAAGTAAGGAAGGAGGAAGCCCACCATGCTATATTGAACCTTTTCATTGATTTCTTAAAGAGCACCGGCTGACTAGCCTACGAAATAAAGGTTATATACAGAGATATTCAAAGAGGTTTCACATATCTTAACATGGCATAAGAGCAGCAGTTTAGAACCACCCAGATGCATCTCATTAGGGTTGATTTTCAATTAGGGTTGATCCAATGGTGGAGATCTCTTCTTACCCTTCTCACCATAACTTCCATTTTCATCGGAACCCATCCATATATGTGTGTGTGTGTGTGAACCTCCCCTCTCTGTATAAAGGCCCTGTTAGAGAGAGATTCAAAGATGTTCAACATATCTTAACATGGTATCAAAGAATGGTTTAGAACCACCTAGGCACTCGGCACACTCTTTCACCTCTGTTTTAACCTCTCTTTTAGAAAGCATGTTGGACTCCCATATCAGCCAGACACACATATCATCAAACATGTATATATATGTGTAAAAACCTCCCTTCTCTCTATAAGGCGTTTTTTAGAGAAAGATTTATAGGAGAAACACCGAGAGAAATAAGAGCATCTTGCATGCAATATCATAGCTTCCATTAATAGACTTCCATGCTAAGGTTGCCACACTAGGGGTTGCTACAAAGAGGAAGAAAACCGGCCTAAGATCAGTCGGGATGTGATTACTGCCAGAGAAACTAATCACCAGATAAAGCCAGTAAAGTGTGATAAACACCACCAAGTAATGTGGCATCTCGAATGTAAACAAACAAATACAAATTTTCGCCCTCCCTGCCTTAACGGGAACCATTGACCGATCAAGAACCACCAACAGAATGATAAGTAGCCACCATATGCATTCATACATGCATTCTCCGCGAAAAATGAACACGGGCGGATTGAAGTAACAGAAGCCACAATATCCAAGGGGCAAGAAGGTAATTTACTTCTACATGATGGAATTCGGCTTTCAGATTGTGGAAATGGAAAGCACAATTTAGAACGTAGACAAGAGAAAGAATCATGAACGTGAAGAGCGTGAGGCACCATATGACAAAATAACCCGCCACGAAAATGGTGTGGAAGAGCGGTGACGCTAATGGCGGGAGATTTGAATTTTGTTCGCTTATAGTTTTCCTCAGTAAAGCTTGCCTGCCTGTGGAAATGCATATCTTGAAATAGCTTGCATTGATCTTGGTCATAACAGATGGCTTTGAGTGGTGGTCGTGGCTCTCCGGCATGGGTGGTTGTTGGCGGCTTCTGGTGGTGGTCAAAGAGTCAACCACTACTTCCCCATTGATGGAGATAATTTGAAGGATTGTTGCATGCACAATTGTAGAAAACATGTTGATATGTAATTGGAATTTTGTGAATAAAATGAGACAAGATTGCATGAAGACTTAATTGGCGTTTCAAAACACAATGTAATTAGAATTTAAAAAACTCTTTGTGGAATTCAGGTTCATATTTGAAGGTAAATCATGTTACTTGGATATTGGGATATGTATATTTTAAAACTAATTCTATATACAAAATCGAGTATCTCACGAGTTTTTCAAGTCGAGTATTGGATAGCTCAACCCGACTCATTAATATGTCAACCCAAGCTCGAGTTTGAGCCGAGTGTTAACCGAGCTTTGATCAAATCGATCTTAAGTAGCTCGCAAGTTGCCTCGAGGCAATACGAGGCAACTTGCGAGCTACTCAAGATCGAACTTGCGAGCAATACGAGGCAACTTACGAGCTTTGACCAAATCTATCAAATCGAACTTGCTTTGTTTTACGTGTCAATCATGTTCACACACACTAGTACAAGAGTTGATATAGTTGGTGAGTCGAACTTGCTGGTTAAGTTTGCAATCAAGATTCGGCTCGCCAAAAATAGTGTTCTTCATACTACTTTTGATTATATCTTGTATTGATTTTCAATTGGCTAGATGACAATCCAATCCACTTTTTTTTATTAACCTGGATATCCAACTCGATATGCGAGCCGACTAATCCCAGGCGACCACCTGCTTTGCAGATAGCTCGGAGTCACCGTATTTGAACCCTCCGTGGCCACAAGAGGATTTTTATTCCTCCTTGGATTTGAACCTGAGACCTTCTGGTACTTTTGACCTTTGGAGCCAAGCTCAAACCAATCAGGCACCACCCTTGTGGTTCAATCCAATCCACCTTCGTGGCAATCTTAACTTCACTTCAACTAGTCTTTGATTTTTTTAAAGGCCTTGTGCTCTTGGACCAATACAGATACTAATAAGACTTTTATAAAAGAAAATTCTTATTTCTAAATTTTCTCTCCGAAACATAAGTTATATTTCGAATTCCAGTAACACTCATGATTTATGAAGTATGGTAAATATGATTAGGATCCTTTTAATTTGGATCGTTTCATATTTTGGATTCTTAAATCCTAATACTAATCCATTTAAGTCGGTTATAACATGTAATCAAGATATTTGATCCAACGATACGTTCTTTTAGTGCCCAAATGTTCAAAACGTAATGTTTTCTAGACAAGATATGAATCAAGAAAAACAAGTTTGCGAAGACATCTGGTTTATGCTTAAGCTGCCTCAGCAAATCCAAGTCTTAGATTCCCATAATCGAATATGGTGTGGTAACGACCCATGAAAACATCTCCCAAGATCCTAAAACACGTCTCCATACGTTACCACACATGATATACTAAATAAGTGTCCACATTTCTATTTTAATTTGTCCCAAAATAAGCGTTCATTTTCAAAAAGCAAGTGTATACTTTCCAATTCCACCTTTAATTATGAGATGGAGAAATTTGTTATTCTCTCTATTATTAAGGGTAAAATTGTCATATAATTAATTAAGTAGTGTAATAATTACATATTTCTAAAACTACGTGTCTTTTTCATTATGAACATTTATTTTGGGACAGAGATGGGACATAATACGTTTATACAAACACACATACCATAGAAGACCATTTGGTGAAGGAATGTCCATTGGAGTGAAGCCGCTAACACAACTAGCATCATCATCAGTATCTTTAACGATGTACTGCGAATACCAATCAAAAGGGCAATCTTAATGCATCGTGTTTCTACGAAGGGTGCAAAGGGAAAGCTTTATACGTTATGACGAAATTTAAGTAAGATGTGTACCTCGTGCGGTGAGAGCACGAAATCTTTGCCACCAATCATGAACGAAATATCAGGCATGGATGCAATGTTTTCACAATCCACGTTTGCGTCAAGAAAAGCATCAGTGAGCTGTGAGTTTTAGGACTTGTTAGTTTTTGTTAAAATATGGAATTCATTTGAATCTCTCTCTCTCTAAGGGTGCGTTTGATATGCGGGAAGATGCATGATATAATAGAACAAGAACTTGTTTCAAGTTTGGTGCAATAATTAGTCTGGGACCAGATAGGACTGACTGGACAAGAATGGATTTTTTTCGTCCTACCAAAGTAGGTAGAACAGTAATTAGGAAGATAGACAAGCTTGGTACATTACTAAACTGCTTATGTCAAATTAAAATCCTAAAACAATTCTTTCACCTGCCTACGTCAGTCTCGCCCGTCTAGACTATTCATGTCCAGTCCAATCTCGTATGTGTATGAAACAGACTCTAAAAAGCTCTTATAAAGAGAGGAGAGGTTCCTACTATATACATTATACATATTTGATGGTCTATGTCTAGTTGATGCACGACTCTAACATGGCCTCTCGAACGAAGGCTAGATGGCGCCCCTTCGAACAAAAATAAAAGAGTGTGGTGAGTCCCTAAATGTGGTAGACGCCAAATCTGATACCATGTGAGGACATATAGATACTCTTTGAATCTATCTCTAAAAAAGAGTGCTTACAGAGAGATGGAGGTTCCTATATATATATATATATATGCAGATTTGATGATTTATGTCTAGTTGATTTGGGATTCTAACTGTTTTCATGAAAAAAATGACAACAAAACACAAAAGCAAACATATGAAAACTATCCCAAAAAGGTACTCACCTTGTTACCATCGCTTAAAATGCGTTCTCGTGTCTTATTCTGCTTACGTTGGTTTTCCATCCACATAACCATTGTCTCACAAGCAGCACAGAAACCATCTCCATTCCCAGATGATACATCATCGCTGCTATCAGAAGTCGAGAACAAGATCATGGTTGTGTTAATGGACGACAAACTCGTTATAAAAAGATTGAAATCATGAAGACTAACCTATGGCTATTGGTTCCATTGGAAGCACAAAGTCCAATCTTGGAACAAATCTTTTTTGGTTGTACCTGTTTTTGGGAAAGAAATTAGACTTACATAGACCTCAATAACAAGTCAGACATTTTATCGAACAATTGGTGTGCACCTTTTCAGAAAGAAGATCCAATATATTTTCCCCATGTTCCTTAACCACAAACTGTGATTCCTGATTTGCAACTGTCTTAACTCCAATGGCTTTATTGATCTCGGTGACTACAGACTAAATCGAAAAGATTCATAATTGAGTGCATTCATCCTGATAAACTACAACAAAAGAAACAGAAAATGGAAAACCAGATTACGCATACCGTTGGGCCTGCTAGCATAGAAGTTCCTGAGTCTGCAATGGCGGAACACCCATGTTGACAATATCCTGATACAAAATATTTGCAAAGAAACCTGTCAATTGTATCGAATGCAATAGCTTGAAATGAGAAAATTCTTCAAAACCAAGAAGAAAACCTTACCCTTTGATTTGCCATTGATGAGAACATCCCCCAAATCGAACTATCACGGAGTAAAACATCAAAAGATCAGAGATTGACCATAGTTAAGTGGTGTTTGGGATTGCTTATAAAGACATGTTATTGACTTATTCTGGTATGGTACCAGTAACAAGCACTTTTGAGTGTTTAGATAAACAACTTATATTGGTGTCAAACCGATAATAAGGAGTTTTTAAAGAAGTTAAACATTTCTTACTTATAATAAGTTGATAAGTGCTTTTATAGAAAAACATAGGTTGTTTTAAAAAAGCAATCCCAAAGACCCCTTTAGTAAAAAAGGGTAATCTCCATAATACATTAGAAAAAGTGAATATATCATGTCTTTTCATATTTAAACAAAAAATTAATTTGACATTGACAAAATGACACGTGTCACTCTATCATTGGTTGACGATTTACATGGTTTTTTCGCATCGTTTTTTGAGATTGCGGGTCCCACCCGTGACATTAATAGGAAAATTGCAAATACCGGATTCATTGGCTGATTTGGTCGGTCATTTTGTGTAAATATGAAAGACAAAAAACTTGGTCATTTTTCCACTTTTTTTATCTGTTATAGCCATTTTGGAGAATACTCCATAATAAAAATGATTTGAAAATACAATGTTGTAATATAAGAAATCAAATACTGTTATTTTGTATTTTTCTAACAGTAGATTAACGAACCTGCCAATAACCCTTTTGCGTGATAGGAACAAAGGTATGGTTACCCTTGTAATGATCGGAATCAACACCACCAAAGACGATCTCGCCCCCCTTTTCTTGCTTGGCACCAGGGTTTAACCATATTGAGAACATTGGATCCTTAACTAGACCTTGTCTCACCATAGTGTCCCTGTATCAAACGTTCTTTTCATTTTTTGTTATAAAAATCATCCAACTTCTAAACTTATTGACGAAATCATTCACTCAAGTCGGCAGTTTACAAGTTTATCGGTCAAAAACACAAGAACTGATTAAATTTGAAGAACACGGTGATTTCAGTAACATACCATACTGGGGCAACTTTTCCAACAGAAATCTCCTTGAATCCAAGCCCAAGTATACCATCGAACTTCCCATCTATAAATGACATACCGGGCTCACTTATTGCCTCGATAAATTCCTGTTTGGTTATCAAATCCATCAACGTATTAACAATGTGAAATCACAAAATATAACTGAAGAAGAACGATTTGTAGAAAAATCAGATCAACCTGATCCTTTATAACAAGATCACCAACTTTGACATCATCGTTGCTAAAAAATCCATATACTAATCCACTGCCATACATAATTGCAGCATACTTTCCTGTAAGTCAGAAGTTAAAACAGAAGACATGAAAGATCACTGTAAAATATGCACGTGTAACTGATGAAATCCTTCTACGAAGCATTTTTGAGTAGCAGTTATCCGACAATGCTCATAGCTGACTAACCATTTTCTTTGTATGTGCTCGACTTTATTGACTTGTACTTCGGATGAACATAGCAAGACATCTACACAATAATCCACACGGATAAGCTTTCTGGGTATATTAAAATTTACGTATTTATACATTTACGTAACAGAAGCTCACCGAAAAGAAACATTTTGATGATGGTACCCATAGATTAGAGCTACCAGTATCGAAGATGACATTGAACGTTTGAGGTGGGGTGCCAATGCCGATCTCACCATAGTATTGAGCATCCATATAGTTCTTTAACATTATGATATCTGACCCAGGGGACCCATCTTGATTATTTTGTCGACGAGCCCTCAAGGATTGACTCAACTCCGAGCGTGAAACAACACGATTAGTGTTGTTGAATTTCAGTTTTATTCGAACATAGTTTGTTGAAGCGGAAATGAGCAAAATAGGATATAAAAATGCAGAACAAATGAGGAATATTGCGATGGATGTTTTCGTACGTCCCATACTGACCTACAAGTATATCCGTTGATAGAAAATCATTAACTTCTCTAAAATGAAATGCTACAATTCTTATATGTATACATATGTGTATAGGACAAGATTTAAATTACATGAGATTAACCTTGTGAAATTGCATCAATAAAGGGGAGCAAGGCTAAATTTGTAATTTAAGAAATTATAATTCAGTATAAGATAAATTAACTTTTATTTTACCACATATTTATAAAAGTTACAAAACTACTCCTCTATCTTCTGCATATCCATATGAGGAATTATCTGGTATTTCACAATCAAAGACACAAATGTTGATCAGATCAAAGGATCACATATTTACTTCTTAAATATTTACACTTTTCAAATGAACATCTCTCTCTCTCTCTCTCTCTAGGTTATCAAAATTATCAAATTTCTTAATTCTTTCATGATCAAATCTCGTATTCTTTCAATATTAATCTGAATCCAAAAGGCGATCTTCAACAAGATATTGATTTTGATTCTAAAACCATAATGTTATATGTAAATCTAAGATAAAAAAATTGTAAATCGATTAAATAGTTCATATGTGAATTAGTTAAATAGTTCATATGTGAATCACACTAGTTCACATATGAACATATAGTTCATATGTGAATCAGTTAAGTAATTCATATGTGAATCATACAGGTTCACATATACACATATAATTCATATGTGAATCACATAGGTTCACATATGCACATATTATAATTTCTAGTCTATTTATAAAACTAATGAAACTACCCCTTTATCTTCCGCATAGTTGTTACCATGCTACCGAATTATCCAATGTTGCAAAATTAACCCCTCAAATCTTGACCATTATTTTTTAAGTGGAAGGGCTAGTATCACTTTTCTATCCTCGTATATTTAATTTAACACTTTTCAAATAAACCTATGGTTATATACATATGTATATATATATATATACATATGTATATATATATATACATATGTATATATATATATACATATGTATATATATATATATAGATATATATATATATAGATATATATATATATATAGAGAGAGAGAGAGAGGGGGGGGGGACGTTTCAAATGCAACCCATCACGTTTATACAATAAATGCAACCTAATCAATTGAGATATTTATGGAAATGATAAAAGTTCATATATTATGATTTGAATATTTATGGAAGATGACTAGAGTTCATTAATTATGATCAATACTTTATATTAAAAATCAATCAAAACTTTTATAAAATCACATATTCATCAAATTAAATGGATAATTGAAATTGAGTTATATTAGTTGTACAAATATAAATAGTTATATAATAATCCACCCTCTATCCCTCTCTCTATTATTTTTTTGGAAGGTTTAAATGTGAAGACAGAATTTTGGTTTACAAGATTCTCTAATTAATTTGTACAATAAAAAAGTAATAAAATCACTTAAAATGTATCAAAGAAAATAAATAAATGGAAACCAGTCAAATTTAATGGGGATTTTAATTTAAATTTGAATTGATTGCATTCCTAGCGAGTAAAATTCAATTGCAATTACTAAAATACATGTTTTAAAATACAAATAAATCATGTATTTAACACCAATAATTCATTAACCTGGATATCTAACCCGTTATGCAAGGCAATTAATCCTAAGATGACTACATATCATGCGGATAGCCCGAAGTCACCACAATAGAACGTCTGTGGTCACAAGAGGATTTTTATTTCTCCTTGAATATGAACCTGAGACCTCTAGACACTTTTAATTTTTGGAACTCAAGTTCAAACCAATTACGCACCACCCTTGTGGTTAACAATTCATATTTTAAATTACAATTTAAAAGTTTATATCAAATATTTAACAATAGTTATCGACTATTTATACCATTAGTGACCATAAAATACTTTAAGTTATATAGTTTTTTTTAATTATGAAATTCACATAAATTCATATCAACAATTTATAGAATTATGATTGAATAGATGTTTTGTATATCAAAATATTACTTTAAACAATTTATAGAATTATGATTGAAATTTTACAACAAAATGTTGTAAAGGTAAAAAAAAAGATCGAACTTTCACAACAAAAACACTGTGAAGGTTAGGTTGGGTTCACATGAGACAACATTTTTACACTTGAAATTTTACAACAAAATGTTGTGAAGGTAAAAAAAAGGTCGAACCTTTACAGTAAAAATACTGTGAAGGTTAATTTCACAATGTTTTGCGATGAAATTTCAAATACAAAAATATTGCCTTATAAAAAAGTTTTGTCTCACATATAATTCAAAACATATAAAAAAATTAAGAAGAAACACTTACAAATGAAATGATGATAGACTTTGGAACCACACTTTGAGTGAGAGAGAAAGAGAGAGAGATAAAAGGGGTGAGAAACACAAACTTACACACACACACATATCTATACTATATTATAATGCATTTGGCTAAAACTCTTAAAAACTCTTAAACTCTTAAAACTCTTAAACTCGTTCATCCCTATCCGATTTCATCCCATAACTGAATTCGTGTAACTAACTGCAGATAAACACAATCAAATACAGGATAAACATCTTATTTTAAATATAAAAAATCTAAAATATA